ATGACCTGATATCTACCTGTGACTACAGTTACTCACAAAAATTTCGAGACAAATACATAGGACATAATAAATTTAGTGACTTCTCATCCTGAAACGTCATTTAGCAGCCAGACACTGTCGTGAACTGAAAAAAGTGACAAATCCAATACTTGGATAAATGAAAAATCGTCCTCATCTGTACTAACTAAAGAGATACGAGATTAGTGTGAAAATTATCGTCTAAGGTTCTAAATTTCTTTTTTCTGATTCAAGTGCGCGCTCATGGGTTAGTATATTATCGGTGAAATGTGTTCTGCTATGGGGGTGTGCGTTTCAGAACGTTTATTCGTTATTGAGAGATTGGAGATGATTTTTCCTGAGAATTCGGTTTTTTAATTTTTTTAGTTTTTTAATTTGTATTGGTGGCCTTTGAGACACACGTGCTAGTTAATTAGCTTGTTTATGAAAAAGTCTTAATTGAAAGGGACAGTGGTTCACGTGGATACCGTGAAAAAGAAAGTTAGAGAAAGCATCTAACACAGTTATATTCTCGATTAAGAGTTAAATTACCCAATAAAATAATCTGTATATTCTTGTAAAGTCTTGCGTATTCTTCTGAACGAATATAAGAATTTTTAGAATATCCTTGCACTTTCGAATACTTGTTTAACACGATTCTTATTCAAGATGATCGTTGATCGCTGATGATTTCAATAAAAGGTGACACGTTTGCCCGACAGATTGAACGGCGTGAAAGATATCACTGTTCACGTTGGAACAACCCAACTGAAATCAGGTGGAGAATCCTACGCAGTGCAGAAAATCGTCGCACATAGCGGGTTCAGTTCGACCCGCCTTGTTAACGACGTTGCTGTGATTCGCGTGGACAGGGACATCAAGTTCAGCAACTTGGTGAAACCAATCAGTTTGGCTACCAGCGGCACCTTCGAAGGATCACCATGCGTCTTGACTGGATGGGGAACCACACGTGTAAGTATCGAGAAATATGGACACTTTCGTTCAAAAGTGTGTTCACACTTGTGAACTGAACCTTTCAGTTTAAATTTGAGAAATCTTGAAATTTTGCATTGAGCAGTTTTCAATTATCACACTTGAAAGTTTGAGCAGTTTTCTATTATCTTACTAGGAAGCATTGAGCAGTTTTCAATTAATTTTAATCAATTCCTGTAAATTTCTATTACAGTTGGGAGGAAATGTACCAAACAACTTACAAATGATCGACTTGGTCATTGAAACCCAGGAAAAATGCAAGAAGGCTCACTGGAGAGTAGAGAGCTCTCACATCTGCACCTACACTAAAGTCGGCGAAGGTGCATGCCACGTAAGTACACTTACTGTATTTTACTTTTCATTTTGATTTGCATTTCTATCATCAAAATTGCAACTTTCGTCAGACCTCGTTAATTCCCTTTTCTCATTTACAACACAGAAGTTAACGAATCAGATTTCGAACAACTAAAAACCTTTCTACGAAACAAAATGTCAGTCATATGATTATCGAACTCGTAATTATTTCCTTTTTTCTCTGGAATTTCAGGGTGACTCTGGCGGTCCTCTCGTTGTCCACGGCGTCCAAGTTGGTATCGTTTCCTACGGCCAACCTTGTGCTGTCGGCAAACCTGACGTATACACAAGAGTATCGTCCTTCGTACCTTGGATCAAGAACCAGCAAAGCTTCCTGAGCCAGGACCTCGAAGTGGCGCCACAAGACGCGATCTACATTGCTTAAGCCTGCTCCTATAACGTTTCCCTCACAAATTATTGAGAATAATTCAATTTTCCCCGTTCAAATGTTCAAAAAAGTAATATAAACCCGTTGTATTGAACCTTTCTTCCTTTTTTGGAAGAAACTGCGTGTAAATCCAAATTCACATTTTGTCCCAATAAATTCTCTGTATATTATTAATCATGTTGTTTTGTATTTATACAAGTTGTCACAAATTGAAATTCATAATGGGAGGATACAGTTGGTGAAAGAAGAGTAAAATTCTCAAGGGAAGTTTAGAAACCTGAAAATTTCAAAAAGTTTTCGAAGAACATATTTTTTCTTCAAAATTTACTATCTTTGCCCTTTCTTCGAAAATTCTTTACCACCACAATGTAGGACATTGAAAACTATACAACATTGCATTTATCTACATTTCTGCAAACTTTCAAATTTTTTTGAATTTTCGAATTGCATATTTTAAACACATTTTCGTTCGCCTTTTTTTCATATATGATTGATTACATTTTAATCGAAGATTTTGCGTGCCCAAGTATTGTGTAAGGTTTACTACTAGCTTTAGTAAGTTTAGTGTTATTTACGTCTTTAAATGCTGAGAACTAAAATTATTACACATATTTTTTTTAAGCTGTGCATAATTTTTATAATTTTTCAAAGTGACTTTTGTACTTTTTGCGCCTTTAAACGCTCAGAACTAAAATTCTTGTGCATATTCTTTTAAATCGAACAATTGAATTGTAGTCGATTAAATTCTGGAGAGATTACAAAAAAATTATCAAAATCGCTCCAGTAGTTTCCGAGAAAAAGGTACATGAAGACAGAAAACACGTAACTTTACAAGAGAGCGCTTTAAATATTATGCAGCTAAATCAACGAAGCTGATTCCTACTCGCTAATTTTTTATCATACTTTATTATTGTAACTGTTTTCACGCATATGTGTATATATTCTTTAATAAATTTCTGTAGGCCATTATCGTTAATAATAAAATTCTGATGGAAGAAGAAGTATATATGTTTGCACTGCGTTACGCGCGAGGGATATGTTTGAATTAATTTTTAACGCACATAGACATGTCAAAATACAATTCTAATTATCTGAAACTGTTTCTTGTCCAGAAACTGTTCTAGTTTTTTTATGAAAAAAATTTTACTTGAATGTTTGATCGTTTTCAATTGTAACCTTCTGTTTAATGCAATCTCTGACCTTGTGAGGGCACCTACCAGTTGAACCGAGTATTAGTTGAACACATCATCTCTCTGGAATATTTTGGTACTGAATATAACCACAAACGAGATGATATAGTATAGATCAATCTTCTTATGGGAGTTTTTGTTACTCGATCTGATATACCGACGTCGTCCGTAACTATTGGTTTTGAAGCGGACTCTACACGGTCATTATAAGAACTGCATCATGCAAAACAATCGATAAAGGTGGTATGTACATTGTTACTATGTTGCCAATACACCCTTGGATCTCAAAATGCAAATGTGTATGGCTGAATCCATTCTGATTAATCCTAAGATTTGAAATTTTGGCTCCTTCGTTATTTAAAATAATAAATGCCAATTGTTCTTAATTTCAATTCCTGCCACTAGAAGCGCAGTGATATAATACCAGTCCTAATCGATACAGTAGGATTACGGTAACAGGGTTCTAGAACCCGTTGGTCGTGTGACAAAAAAGTACATTAAATGAATAGTTAACTTTATATCGTTTGTCCTTTTATCATAGATATCTCTTCTGTAGTATCGATTAAGAATTTGCACACTACTCACGGTAATTCAGTTTCCTGTCGATAAATTGTAACGAAACGCAATTTATCGACTTGTCCACGTTATCAACACCAAGCATTGATCTATTCTGTAATGTAATCTTTCATCAAAGATAATGCCTTCTTCAAATGTAACGTATCCTCGAAAAGTATTAAGTAAATTATATAGCACAAAGCACAAGGTTAGGTTAGGCAACTATTCTAAGCAAAATATTCTAAAATTAACATTTATTAAAGTACAAGTAACTTTATACATTATTCCTGGAACATTTTACATAATTGTCACTATCTTTTCTAATTATTCCAAAATTTCTAATTATTTTAGGAAATAATATTTACATATTATTATCATTTGATAATTAAGTACATTTAATATAAAATGCAGTTCAAACGTTGTGGGACAAACGCTTGTAAGTTTGCAAGAGAAATAAACGAACGTTTATTAATTAACAACTTTTTTCACATTCACGATCAAGCTATTCTGAACTGCGTATTTGTATTTCTGACTTCGATCTTAGGCTTGAAGTTACCGCATCTCGGGAAATTTTTTGGCGTTGGTGGCATTTGATGTGGTTCTCCAACCTGGAAAGTAAGTTCCATCCCAGCCAATATATGGAAGAGCTGATGGCAGTGTAACATCCAAAAACCTTGAAAGTAATATGAAGAAGATAAAAAAACATTTTTAAATTAAAAATTCCGTCTTATTTAAATTACGTGTAAAAATGTTCTCGTAGCACGATAACTAGAGTTAATTATATATTATGTAACTTGTTAAAAATGAAATTATGCATAGAAAAATTTGTACAACTTTGAAGATTAACAAAATTATGTACCTGTACTATTTGCACGGAATCTAAGTATAGCGTATCCATTGTTCGGTATAGGAATGGTATCTTTTGCTGGAGGTAAATTGTAATTCCTCGCTATCTTATTGTTTAATTCAAGGTGATGGAAGTAACTCGTTGTCATTTGAAATCCTTTGTCCGAGGTAGGACCGAGAGGCTGGCCCATGGCCATCACGTGGAATGCGAATCCATGCAAATGGAATGGATGCCGGACGAATTTCGCGTTGACTGCGATTTGACAGAAAATTTCGGACAATTAACATAAATTGTAAACTTACAAATATTTTTCGAATATACAAAATATTCAAAGGAGAGAATTATTTCGAAGTTTTCACAGATTGCTACAATACTATAAATAAATTATATTAGTCTGTTAGAAATTAATCGATAAAAGTTTCATTGAAAGAACCTTGGTTCACTTTCTCCCAAAAACAAAATGACTGAAAATTTTCTAACAAAATCTTTCATATCACAGACTTAATCCCTTCGTTTAATCTCGTTTCATAATGCTTGACATACTTACACTCGTCGATTAAAACGATTTCCACGATGGAATCGACTGGAATTTTAATTAAGTGTATACAAGAGCAAACTCCCGTTTTACAGTTGGCTGGTAAATTGTCACCGTTGCAAAATGGTTCGTCGGAAATATCCTCCAACTGTGACAGTGGTGGGGCACTTGGTGAAATTGAGCTTATATTGTTCAACGTCTCTACCACTATCAAATTTGCCGATGGAACTATTGAAATCAGGAAAAAATGGTTCGTTTTTATCATGCATATAAATATGTAATTTTCTTACGAAACGAAAGTATATACCGGGTGTCCCAATTGTTTTCGATCAAACTTCGTCAGTGGATTCTACGGATATAAGTGAGAGAAAAATGTTATATAAACATAGGCCGTTTGAAGCTTTGTTAAAAAGTTACAACAATATTAGGAAATACGAAGGGAATGGTAACGGTTATTACGATACAAAATAGGAATGGATCTGCGGATATACATATCTCGTCTATTTATGCGAGCTGTGTTTACATTCTGAGGTCATTGAATGTGTTGAATATTAACTTCTGTCAGTGTCATTCTTGTCTCGTATCCGCTATTTCGTTAACGCAAATGTGATATAACTTTTTAACGAAGCTTCAAACGACCTATGTTTATATAACATTTTTTTCTTACTTATAACCATAGAACATACTGGCGAAATTTGATCCGAAAAAAATTGGACACCCTGTATATACCTATTATCTTCGTATCCGCTGTTTAGTGTCGACAGCGGTGTAACTCGAAAAATAAATCTCACAGGGAAAGAAGCTTCAAATTTGCTTTTGAAGAATAGTTGAATGTTGATCGTATAATCTGACCTGCTCTCTGATGTGAAATTAACGAAATCAGAAATGTGCAGTTGCATTTATGTGATAAAAATATTGCATTTTTATACGATACAAATATTTGTGGGAAAAAATAAAAATTGACATTTTTGGAGTCATGTCACTATTTTATCAGTAACAAACAGTGATATATCCATAGCGACCTGCTACAGTACCCGGAGAAATAACATTTGGCGTGCAGACGACCGGCGCGGTTTATGACGTGCGCGCTTGAAAAGCTATTTTTGAGGAAACCGTTTTAGTTTATTTAATTTCCAGAAATCCGACAACGCATGTCCGCGCAGAAACTTTCTTCGACGGCCTCAATAGTAGATTGCCGCGTCGTAAGCCAAGGGTTTCCGAAAGGTCCGCCGTACGAGGCCCAGAGGCCACGACCGGACACGTCACGAGTACCTGACATAGAGGAAATTCCTTTGTGCTGCCAAATCTCCAACGTGGAATACACCCTCCACGCCAAGTCGCGCCGCGGTCCCGGAAAAAGCGCGCCAAGGGCGCAAGGGACACGCAGCGACTTGTAAGGAAATTACCCGATTGGCTAACATCGATGAGATCAGGAAAACTAACAAGGCGACAAAAGTTAGTTGGAAAAAAGCGAGACGACAGGAGGGCAGTCAAGCGCGAACCTCCAGAGCAAAGACTTGTATCAATAAAGACTTCACCGGAAGTCTTCACCAATAACACGCATCTTCATTATCCTTCATATCTTACTTATAAAGTTTTTGTACGTGTTAGGCTTAAAAATCTCTTCTGCTTTGTATTTAAGCACACCGATTGGAAGGACCAATTTCACGTCTGGGTTCTTCGTCAAAATTCCCCGATCTACCGGCATCGCATTCCGAATTTCACTGAGGCAAACTTGGTCTTTGCTAGAAACGTCGCAACCCTCGGCTGCTACATTCATTACCTGTAATTATGCAAAGCTCTGTATTATATATTTCAGTGTTTCTTGTTTAACTCAACCCTGGAATGCTACCCTGGATGAATTCTCAAATTCTGCAAAACTAAATTTCACATCTCTCCATTAACCCCTTAAGGGGGTCTTCTAGTGTAACGAAGCGTTTTCTTTGCGTTATTTCGGAATTTTTTATGAGGAACTTATGAAAGTTACTGCAACCCTGTTTCTTTCTGCGTACTTAATAACATTTCGATGACACTTTCAATTTTTTTGAAAACGATAAGATTAAAATTAACTGAAGTGGACCGCTTTGAAGCTGCTCTTGAAAAAAAGCGATGCCCAAACGGTGTCCACTATTGGACGGTTTCTGATTATCTAAAACAAAAAATTCAAAAGGATTCCTTATTTGTATGTCCTTGGTTATAGCCGGTACCAGAATGAAAGAAGGACATTGTAAATTTAAAAAATAACGTCACTTAGAAGCTGAGTTTCGATTTTCATACATTTTTTTCGACTTTATCGGGCTGTCAAAATTTTAAAAAAAGAAATATCTTGAGACAATTGTGGTAGGGGCGATAGCCACATGTGTGCTGGACATGTGTGCAGAAGTTGGCCTTAATTGGTGAAGTCGATCTTGAGATATCGTGGACACCACTTCGAAAAACATGGTTCCGAGAAAAACGCGATTGAAGTTTTCAGTGCAATTTAATTCTCCCTTGATGTGTCACTAAACGAACTATAAAACTTCAGGAGTACATTCTTAAAGAGTTTTACTTTCAATATATGCAAAAATATAAAAATCGATTTTTTCAAACCGTCACACTAGAAGACCCCCTTAACCTATGATTTCTTTTCTTACTAAGCATCTAAGCGTCAGCCATTTGCACGCTGTTTTAGTACCGCACCCGGCAACGAAAGCTAATATCTGTTACAGATTAATTACACTTATACAGGGTGTTTCAAAACATGTGGGCATAACTTCAGGGATGGATTCAGTACTAGCTATATCGGTTCCACCGACTGTACATTCAATGTAACATATAGAAAATGGACTCACAACTCCGGAAGGAAGTGGGTTATCATGAGTAGGTTCCTTCGTGTTTGGCGTAGTAGATGCTCCCTCGTATTGCAGTATAGCTAATTGTTGGACGCGATCTGGGGCACAATTGTCTAATCCACGAAGCTGTATCCAATAAGCGCCAGGTTTTCGGTTAGCATTAAGAACGAAGTCATATCGTTCTCCTGTGAAAGTTATATTAAAAAAATTTTGTTAATTTTCTTAAGAATTAGAAATGAAA